TGATACACCTCCGAATTATATAATAGTCTGAAAGTCATTCCTGGTCCAACAAAGAAAAACATAGCTTTTATTTCCAGAAGCACACTTTTACTGTGTGTTTAGTGGATACAATACTTGGCTGAGAGGAGAATACATCCTGTTTAACACTGGATGTTCCCCAAAGATTTTTTTGTCTCTGATGTTTACAGATGTGGATCCACAGATACTACATAAACCATTATATTGTGATGATTAATGGTGCAGAAAACACAAAGAGCAGAGTGATCATTGTCCATGTGAGTGAAGGCAGAGCTACACAGTATATCCAGCTGTGTTGGAATTATAGGTATGATGCTCTTATATTGTTGTGTGTTTTTTGTGGAAGGATAACAGATCAGAATCATCAGTCATCAAAACATAAAAATATAACATTTCTTTCTTGTTCTAAGTTGTTGACTAGTGAGACACAGCTGTCTTTGTTGTATTCTGGTGGCTCCAGTGTTTTAATTTATCATTTCAGACCCTATAACATGATATTTATTTACCTGGCACTACAATGTTAGATGTATTTCAGTTGCACCACTTGTACTGTGGATTCATTGACAACATAATGTGGTTTCTGTGTGTCTTGGCTTCTCTTATCAGTTTGGGATTTGCTCTAAAACGGCTGAAAGTTTTGCCAAATGCCTCAGGCTGACTGAGCTGGACAAAGCTTATCCACCATACTTGTGCGGTCTGTTCCTCTTCTACAGGCTCTAGAGCGTCCACAGGGGTGGAAGGCTACCATATGTTTACCATGGTTCAGACATCCACACTTTGACTCTTTTATGAGTGACCAGAGAGGGGGTGCTGCATGGCGGGGGAAGCGGACAGGGCGAGGAGGTGCAGAAGCTTTTACTCAATGTATTTAGGTACAGAAAATGAATAGCACATCTAAGGCTATCTACATTGTTAGCATTTACACATTCTGAGGTTAGTTTTGAAAATGACCTTCAGGAAATATATTCAACTTCATTCATATTTTATGTTTGCTAGAACCATTTCAAAGGAACCAAACTGGTGTCGCTCCCCTGCACTCAGCTAAAAGAAAACTGTGGCAGTTGAGGAAATATGCTTATTTGCTCTCTTGCCAAGAGTTTAATTAGAAGATTGACGCCACTCTTCTCTGTATATGTAGGTTGAGCCAGCAGTCAATGAGCTTAGCATAGCCTAAAGACTGCAAACAGGGGAAAACAGCTAGCCTGGCTCTGTTTCCCCTGTATCCAATCTACAAAGCTGAAGTTAGCTACATATGAGAGAAAGCAAATAAGCGTATATTCCAAAATGTCAAACTATTCCTTTGAGAAAGAGCCTGGTCGACACTAATTTGGATTAAATTAAAGACTCTGTTTGCATGTCAAACCACGTTCTTTGTACACTTGGATTTTCAGGTCTTTTCCCACAAATTTGCAAAGCAACATACTGTAGTAATGGGTAAATGTTTTTTCCCTTAATTTGAGTTTGCAAACAACCACGCCCCTACAACGAACATCTGGTGAGGACTGTGGCTCAAAATCTATAGATCATTTTGACAAATACGGCCTGGTTCTGTTCGGTCCCAGCAGGGATGGGCTTCCTTCTTCTCGCTTCCATCCTTGTCTGTGAACAATAGCTGATTACACAATACAGGTGTTTTGACTGATGTGATTGAGGGTAAATGCTTCCTGCTGACCCATGCTAACAACAAATCCTTGCACAAAGACCCTCAATTGAATCTCTATTCTACAAAACACCTGTACTGTGAGATCAGGTCAGCTGTATCAGCACACAAAATGAGCAATTACAAACGACAGAACGTTGGCTGACAGTCATATGTCTTCAAAAACTCAGTTTTCCCTGTCCAAACATCAAAATTATCCACTCTGAAGAACATTTTTGAAAACCTCTGTTTTCAGGGGTGGGAATTGTCATCTTGGTGTTTAGCCCACATCAGAGAGAAAAGATATATTTTCAGACTAATCTGTATTAGCGCTCATTGCCTCAGGCTGTGTAAGTAAGCCATCACGAAACACGGAGAGCAGCACCAGGGTGTGGATTGGCTTTGCTCGGGATCTGATTAATTGAGACATCTAACCTCTTGACTGCTGGCTGACGTCTGGCAGCACACATTCCTGCATATTGGACTCACTCACCGTAGTCTTTTTTACAGTACTTCTTCATGGTGATCTTCATCTTTCCCTTGGAAGCTTTACAGTGAGATTCACAATCTGGGGAAAAGAGGTGAGAGGGAAAGATAGAGTCAGAGTTAGATAGCGATAAAAGGCCCCCTCCTACAAAAATTGTGTTTCAGCATCATCAGGCCAGCTTCCAGATGGACTTTAAATGTGGTCCCCTGCGTTAAATTATTTGTGCCCCCAGGGTCTCCGAGATGTCTTCAAAGTGCCACTGTGAAACGGATTATAGCTTACACAGATCCTCCTGTGTCTGTCAACACACTCCTACTCTACTCCTCCTCCCAACTTTTCCTCTCCAGCCTGCTCCCTCGTCAGTGTCCTGGCATGCATTGTGCGAACTCTGAAGGCTACGGAGGTCAGAACGGCACAAAAGAAGGTCACAGGGGGAAATTAGCTGGACCCTCAGCAGCATCTAAACCTTGTGAGGCAAATAGTGAATACTCTAACACTGGCCGAGGCTAAATGTTCTGTGGCCCCTAGAGAAAGAAGCTCACAGACTTATGATTAATGTCTTAGCGGTATATCCTTTACACCCGTGTATGTGCACCTGGGCTAGCTTGCCAAAGGGCTTTATCGATGGCCACTGCTGTCGCGCTGTCACTGAGCCAGGTACCTTTTGTAATGAGGGAGCTGGTGGTGTGACCAGAGGCCAAACTGAAAATTGAAATCATTTGTTCCCTCCACTTTCCACTGACTGACACAAATTGGAACCAGATCATCTCTGAGTGTTGCCCCCCTCCCACTCCACCTCTCCCAGAGCAATAAGCCTTGTGCTCTTTTCTGGGGGGGTGGGAAAGCTGGGCTGGGCAGTCTGAAGAGAAAGGAGGGGGCAGTTGAGAGAGAGAGGGGACCTTTCAGCTTGCCTGAATATGGACAAACTTCATTATTTCTTCCAGCCCTCTGTCCAGTCTTCCCCTTTCTTCCCCATTATACTCTGTGTGAATGAGGTTGCCTGGGTAATGATTGAGGAAGAAAAAAACGCCCCTCTCCTCCCTCTCAAAAAAAAAAAAAAGAACGGTTTTGGACGTGGGATGAGGATCGAATTCATGTATGTAGAGAAAGCATTTCTGCTGGAATGCCTGGCTGCATTCTGGGGTGGCGGGAGAAATAAGAAAAGAGGAAATCCCAAAGTAAATGAATTTGACGAGTCCATATCGAGCATGCCTGATTTCCATGTAAATGAAGTGCTGAGGGCGGGGGGCCTCTTTATCTCCCGCTGGCCCCTGGGGGCCTTTATCATACCTCCCTTTGATAGCTGACGTTGCCCATTAGCCCCTTAGCGCAATCCCTGCACTGGGCCATTACACCCACAGCTCTCATTAAGGTCCAATCTCCTGCTGCGAGGACAAACGCCCCCTTTATGTGTCTCTGCAGCAGTGCCACGTTCATTCTGCGGGGTCCCTGGGGACCACACTGCTCCTAATTTGGAGGGTGGTGACTGTGTGGAGTTTCTGACAGGAATCCAAACTCCACACAGCCTCGGCAGTCACCATAGTAGGAAGTGGGACTCACAACAAAGCTGAATGAAGTCAGTGGCGCCACTCTCATCAGACACTGATCGATGATCAGAGATGACTCAGCCTATTTAACTTAACCTGTATCATGGTAAACACTAAGTGATAAACTGTAATTTAATACATACCTTAACAGCTAAAGCAACAGTTTGACAGTCTGTTTGCTCCTGGCTAATTTATGAAAAGTCATCCAAATCAGCCATGAAAGGACAGACACAGAAATTATACCAAAGCTGCAGGTAAATATTTTTGTTGCACGTTGTCTAATGTCAGTAGCCAAACTTTGAGACCCTTGTCAGAGCACATGAACAATGGGTTCGGGCAGGCTTCACTGTCGGTGCAGCCAGCCTTGATTGAAATACAAACTGGTGCAAATGAAGCATGTAATCAGATTAGGGCCGAAACCCTTGGGAGGCTGCTGGGCAGGCTGGGAATACAGGCAACGAGGCCACAGGGAGCACTGTCAAAATATCTGGAGTTTACATCAGCAGCAGTCAGACCTCACTGACTTGTGTCTAGTTGACGAATGAAATTGAATGGATGGGAATGGTGCCAGAAAGGCACAAATAAATATGTGTATGAAGGAGCAGTTGCTATAGTTTAGTTGCACAGTGGTTAAAGAATCAAGCACACTAAAATACATTAAAACAGCCGAATAAATCATAAAAATATGACTTTAATCTAAGAGATGTTTTGCGTTGTTTCATCAACAGAATGTGTTACTCACCTGACGGCTCCTCATAGCTGCTGTAAGTTGCTGTCGGAGATGCAACCGGGATTTCTGTGACAAAGAGAGGAATAGATTCATGTGATGTAGAAATATATGTAGCTCAGTTTCCTGGCTATTCTCCTAAGAGCAGAATTTTACCTTATGTGAAAAACCTCAGAGCGTACATGAATTACACTTAGGGATGGATTTAATGAGATGTCTTGTTAATGACGTCTGATTCTGACACGCAGATGTGCTGCGAGTTTCCTATTAATGTTCCGCTCCCTCCTGATTGTGGTATGTTGTAGGTACAGAGAGCCAAGGCCGCCGGTCTTGTTAAAGTCGTAGCTGGCAGGGAGTTGCATATCGCAAAAATTTAATATCATACTATTAAAACCAAAAGACATTATCTGAAAAAATATACGAGAAACCAAATATATTCTACTCTTCAAGAACCCCATTTCCTCCAACTTTTACACCACATTTGTTACCTTCCCAGCAAAATTAAATAAATCCTACTCCAGCAGGTTCACAGGTTTAAATTATCAGCATGGATTCTGGCTCACACTTCCACACACGACACAGTGGACAATTGTTAGGGTGTACATGTTGTCCCAGACATCACTGTTATCTTATCTGTTCATGCCAGGCAGCTACTTGATGCTCCTGGTTAAAGCAGCTACTAGCGACCCATCTCTCTTTCTGTGGGGCGTTGGCGTTTATTGCCGAGGGCCTGGAATCTGCAGGCAGCAGATACAGCCAATAAACATATCAGCCATCATTCCCTTGGACTCGTTTTGTGGATTTATTGTGAGACGGACTGTTAACGGTGTTCAAGGCACACAAGGCCATGTTAGGCAAGCTCTAATGGTCTGTTTATCCAGCCTCTGGTTTAAACAGCCAAATATATATCCAGAATATCTTAAAAATAACACAAGATGAGTGTGAGCCATGAATTCACGCAGAACTAGCATGTCTTCCTGTCCTTTCCATGTCCTGAGGTACTTAATCAGGATTTGATGTTGCCGATGGAGTCTAGTTATCAAAGCTCTGACTTTTTGGCTGAACTAAAGGCATGGTCACACCAGCAATTAAAAATATGTAAAATATCACCTTCAGTTCATTTGAATGTAACCGCTGCAGTTAGAGGATGCGATGGTGAAGAAAATACTTGTGATTGCTGTTTTGAGAGAGTTGATCTTTGAGGGAATGGCAAACCGCAGAGAGTCGGTGCTAGCATAGCTTTTCAGCTGTGTGTCACCCTCAACTTTTATTTAACCACTTCTGTCAGAGATGGATCACTTTCAGAGCAATTTGATGAACGATATTGTGGTGTTCATCTTATCAAAGCTTACATAGTGTAATTTTAGGCTGCGACAACTCTTCTAACAGAGTATCGGATTCTCAAAACTCCTCTCGTCTTTGAAGGACTTGCAGCATATAGCAGTAACAGCTCATCAATATATTTATACCAATTTATTTCCAATTAAGCCGCCGACACTGGAGCATCAATAACGTGATTATACAATATTATTGTTCGCCAGTGAGGATGCTCACATTGTTATAGTTATAGTTCTTGGTGTGGACGGCCCATAATGCTGGCGCTACTGTCAGGCATGTTAGCAGTTAGGTCTCAGATACAGTAGATCACTCATTAGTCCAGCAAATAGTCACTACGTCACCAAGCTCCTAGAAGCTAATATTTCATAAAGATGTATAGCTAACTGTTGAAAGTTGTATCAGACGTGAGGTGGTAGAAGTCGGCCTTACTGATGCAGGGGGCGATGGGAGAGCGGCTCTGCTGGTAGCCCTTGGCACAGCGGTTACAGGTGATTCCTGTCACTCCGTCCTTGCAGGGACATTGGCCTGTCGTCTGGTTACACGTCTTCCCTGCTGCTCCAACTGGATGGCAATCACATGCTACGGAGGGAAAGGAGAGGAAAAAAGCACAAGGACATCAAGCTAGATTGTACCCAAGTAAACAAGTTGTTATTTGAAAAATGTGAACATGAGTGGTTTACAAAACCAGTGCCGTTGCAAAACAAATATCAGCTTTCAAATGACTACAGTATGTATCTGCCTCTCCTCTGCTGCTGACTCTACATATTCCATACAATAAAAAGTAATCTTAGCACTAAAACCTATTGAGAAATCATTCACATTAGAGCAGGCTGTGTTTTCCTTCCAGACCATCACAGATGGGGAACTGGGCCTTGCACCAGCATGAAACCTCAATCAAATTACAGTGCTTCCCTCCACCCATAATGAGCATAAGATTTTTCATTAAGTCTGCTCTGGAAGGAACGTTGAAGAGTAAATAACTTAATATAAATAATAAATTATAATATTTCACTTTCACCTCACAGTATCAGTCTACTAATGCAAAATGTATGTGGGTATGTGTTACACGTGTGTGTGTGTGTGTGTGTGCTTAGGACTGCATGTGTCTTTGAGCTTCTTTGAGGAGGCTTTGTGTCCTCTGCAGCGTTGTGATCAGACAGACTGTGTGCTCTTCAGATTGAGTTTCCAATGTAAAGCTTTTTGGCAGGGTTCCTCGCAAATACTGCCTGAATAATGTTTCCCATTAATGGACGAGTGGAACGCACTTCAAAGTCTGTTTAAGCTGTTAGTTGGGGGGATCGCAAGTTAAATGTGAGAAATTCGTTCTCTGTGAGTGTGTGCTCTGCCAAACGTTTACCATAAAGCCAGTGTTTGAAGTGGAAGCCCAGCCTCCCTATTAGCCCTGCATGTGTTATATGTACCAGCAGAGTCATTTGAAATTTGCTTGAAGTGGTCCAATAGAGGTTGGAGTTGCTTTTAGTTGGAATTTATGGAGCTTCAAGAACATAACAAGATGCTTATTAAATCTCTCTTTTTTAAAGTTCTTACTTCTTTGTTTTTGTTCTATTTGATTTGTATCATAAAAGCTTCTTCCAAATGCATTTGTTGAAATGAAATCAAATGATGAAATTTTTACGGATCCAGTCCATTTCCTCTGAGAACTCAACACGAGTATGTTCTTTACTTTAAATGAGGGAGGGCTGTTTAATGGAAACTACAAATGCAATAAAATAATCATCACATAACGCAGCTTACAATAAAGTTATAAAATGACGTCATGGAACGAAGATTTCAGTCAGTCTGACCATTTCTACCAACAACGTTTTCTTTTACAGTGTTTTATCTACCAAAAATCAATGAAATAAAGATCTGGAAAGTAAACTCTATGCTTGCTTGGGCGTCTTTATACTGTTAGCATCACCTCCTGAAGCTTTTAGAAATAATATTTCAGCTTCAATCATGGCTCAGCGGTGGATGTACAATCTACTGCTGTAAAATTTGTAACATTTGAAAAGTTGTTTTTTGTTCATTTTCCCATATAAACAGACTATAAACAGACTCCCTCCAAAAACAACAACAATCATCTCACATTAACATCAATGTTTGTCAGTGATACTTAATATGAGCATCACCTTCTAAAGCTTTTACAAATAATATTTTAACTTCAATAAAATCTCTCTCTTATTTGTCTAGTAGAGGGGTGCTCATACATTTTTTTGCCAAAAATTGCTCTTTTAATTGTTAAGGCTGCTGACTCCTGGTCTAGTAAATGAGTGATGTCTGTTTTTCAAAAGTCAGCTGTACTGAAGGGTTTTATCCTGAATAAACATGAATCTAATATTGTTATTTATTTTATTTATTTAGGAGGCTCCTTTGGCAGAAATGGAATACAACCTTCATAAGTGCATAATCACTGGGGTTTCTATGGTAGCGCAGAAGGGACTGTTTTCATGGGAACTGTTTTAAAAAAAAAAGTTTTAACTTATAGTACCAAGTGCATTTTTACACTTTGGTCTTACAATTAAATTAAAAGATATAGTTAAGCAGTTAGCTTTAGGAGTGGATGGTAGTTGGATTTTGTTACCTTCAGACAGTCTTCGTGCTAAGCTAAGCTAAAAGTCTGCTGCTCGTAGCTTATTTCGGCTACTTGACAGACATGAGAGTGGTATCAATCTTCTCTAACTCTCAGTAAGAAAGCAAAAGACTGAATAAGGTTTATAAGCAATAAAATATCAGACTAGTACAGTCAAAAGTATAAAAAAAAATCTTTTTAACTTGTAATGACAGGTATATTTCGTTCCACTGAAATCTCAAAAGTCCCTTAATGCAAAACCACAGCCTGACTGCCTTCGCAGGAGGTGCTACAACCTGGACACATTAATTAATTTCAATCTGCAGCGGGGGGCCTGTGGAGCTGAATGGTTGCCTAGGGGGTCGGAGGAGTGCGGTGCAGTGAACCATGTACCAGCTTCATCTCTGTGGACTCGCTGTGCCTAGTTAAAGGCTTAGACTGCCAAACGTACGAGGGGACTGGGGAAAAAAAACAAACTGCTGGGGGGGGTGGGGGGGCGTGCACTGTGGTTCTCCAAGAGCCATGTTTACACTGCGCTTGATGAGGGGTGAAGTTGTTAATCTGGGAAATAAAACATGAGGCATTCCATGCTGCCACTGGAGATGTAGGTGCTGTATAGTGCAGAAGAGCCATTTTTTTCACTAAACCAGAAACTATTAAGCAAATCGTTGAGAGGACATTTTGTTGAGATGTGGAGTGTTGGCCGGGGGGGGGTTAAGGAATGGGGAATGAAAGCAGACTTCCTCCTGGCTGTGTTGGCACAGCACTGTATTTCCTGTCCAACAACAGCAGAGTGGGATGGTTGGCTGATTTGAACAATAAATATAGTGGTTTCTAACTGATGTCACATCACCCTGTTTTTGTCACCTGAGGAGAAAGGCAGCAATCACGCTGTTTGGGTTTGATCCCAGAGCTCTGAGCTCGCTATATGGGGGGATTGGAAAAGGGGCTTGAACTTCTCAGGATACTAATCCAGCTGTTTGGAAAGACTTTGCAGAGATCTATGGATGTTGCTACATCATTAGGCAAAGTGAGAACCTCTGTTACACTAACCTGCTCCCAGCCCCGTCCCCCTGAACCTAACCACTCCCCAAATATAGCTTGTGAAAATGTTTAGGCTGGCAGAGTGCTGCAAAGAACCATTTGTCATATTTTTTGGCTAAGTACAGATGATCTATCAAGCTTGTGTTCCACACAACACTGCCACATGTAGTAAATCAATCCCAGCGCTCTGTTTGAGAGTGATCTCTGTCTGTGTCTTATGAAATAATACCCAATTCTGAAAACGCTTTTGTAGGCCCCGTTGCTCATGCCTTTTCTGTCATTTCATGCAAAGTTGAATGAGTCAGAGTGGATTAAGAGGGGAGGATTGTTGTGGCATGCAGTAGGAAATATCATGTTGCTGTTCCTGTGTTTAAATAGCCAGTGGTATACCAAGGATAGGGGCACCGGAGGATAGGCATCCTGAGACCCTGTCACCAGCCAATCATGGCTCAGCGGTGGATGTTGCTAAAGACCACAATATGTGCATCTGCCCAAACTCCCTCATTTGTCATTAAAATGTGGTAAGAAATTGTGATGTGAATGTACAATAGCGTCCAATATTGTAATAGCGAGTACTGCTGTAAAATTAGTAACATTTGAAAAGTTGTTTTTTTTTGTTTTTGGTTAATTTTTCCCATATACACAGACTATAAACAGACTCCCTCCAAAAACAACAACAATCATGTCACATTAGCATCAGTGTTTGTCAGTGTTTGTAGGAAAATTCACACAAACAGAGACAGGCGTAGATGTGCACACGTATTTTGTGCATCTGTGGGATATTTTGCTGGTGAGTGTATAACCAGAGTGACTGAGTGACAGCAGTTTGTTTGCTTTGGGCCTTGGAGCCTGTCTTTACTCCCTGAGGAGCTGAGAGACAGACGGAGCTCAGCTTTTGTCTCCCCACACATTAATCCTTGGTTGCTCGCTCTCAAACCTGACGTATGTGCTCACACCTGTGTTGTTTTTTTGTGTGTGCCTATGCTCTGTGTTGTAAGTATGAATAGGGGAGAGGGACGATTAGTAGGTGTTTCCACTGCTCTGTTTGGTGGATCAGCTCACACCTCCGTTCTGTTTGTTATGTTTGTCTTGTCAGGGATCCACAGAGGACCCCAAATAGCTCGGGAGCTGCACGGGTCAGTTCGCAGACACCAAGACAGGTCGGCACTTTTCTCCACAAGTTTTTAAAGAATTCCTTTAATACCTGAAGTGTGCAATAGACAGTGGTGGAAGGAGTACACAGATCCTCTGCTTAAGTAAAACTACTTATACTTATCAATGAATATAATACTCATTCACATTACAAGTAAATGTCTCGCATTCCAAATCATACCTAAGTGAAAGTGCAAAAGTATTATCAGCAAAATGTACTATCTATTAAAAGTAAAACATAATTTTCCAGAAAAAGTGGTCCCTGTGACTGATCTCTTCCCAAACTTTTCATGCCAAGGACTTCGATAATAGATGCACATCACGGCTCTCCAATTTGAGAGGTTCTTATCTTAAGGAAGGATTTATAGTCAACCAATGGTCAAACTGGGATCCCTATAAGTCAAAAAACAACAAACCCTATTTCTTCTTATGAAAGTTTAAATATTCTATCCTTCTGTCCTCCTTTTGCAGGGGCCTCCCTACAACCCACTCAAGGACGTGAGACCTGAGGGCTGTGAGATTGGGAGAGGAAAGAAGTTCTGCAACATAAATTAGTGTTTATATTTTATATTTTCAACTTTTTCTCTAATCTTTCCTGTTTTTTGTTTGGTTGAACTTCTAACAATTCATACAATATATGTTCACATGCACTTAATAAAACCAGGTTACACAGAGAAACCAGGTTACTTGACACGTGGCCCCAACTAGACTCTACTTTTTCCGTAAAGGCTCACAAGCCAAAAAGTCTTTAACAAGTGTACAAAACATTACCTCAACCATGACTTTAGAAGAAAGTGTTGAAGCTAATGCCAATTCTTTTATCCAACAAAAATGTACACTGTGAGAACACTGGTGAGTGTGCACAGATAATGTTAAAACATCCAACCGTTGTCTCATCTTGTTACCTTTGCAAGCTCTCCGGTGAGAGATGGACTTGGTCATGTCCCGGTAATAACCCTCTTTGCAGTAGTGGCAGTGGCGTCCCGCTGTGTTGTGACGACAGTTAAGACAGACGCCGCCACTTCGCCGGCCTGACAGTTTGTACAGCTCCATGTTGAAACGACAGCGTCGGGCGTGCAGGTTGCAGTGACAGGCTAGGGTGAGAGAGAGAGAGAGAGACACTTAACTTCTACTTTGACATTTTACAGATCAGCTAGTCATAATGCCTTTAAGTGAAATGATACGCTCAGTACTCAAATTTAAACAATCCCATGTGAAAACCATGAACTCCAGTTTAGCTGATTTTCATGTTTTCACTCCAGTTGCATGGTTACACAGTCCCCTGTCAGTTGAGAAAGTCCAAAATCTTAGACTCATGAAACCAAATGCATTGTCATCAAGCTGCAAAACAGTGCTGTTTTTCTTAGCTCCTGAAAAGCTGACATTTTGGAAATATGAGCTTGTTATCTGACAGCAATGAACTCAACACACACTGTTTACAGACCCTCCAATTTGCAATTGTGTTGCAGAGCCAAATGCCGTCGGATAAGTGCCTGAGAAAATGCATTTACTTGAAAGACAAACTCTCCATCCTCTGGTATGAGTTTGTCATATTAAGACAACAGGTTATTGAAACAGATGGCGTGGCTCGGCCCGCTTTGGTCTGGCTTGAGAATAATGGAGCCTCTAAAAGAAACGTCCTGGTTCAGGCTCTTTCGCTTGGCCACCTGCTTGTGAATTTAACCTCTGAACCCTGGTGATGTCAGGCAGGAAAACTTTCTTCCGCTCTCCCACACATCTGAGACTGAGGCTGGTAATTTATTGTCATTGCTATTTTCTCTCGTTAATATTGACCCCAAAGTTCATATTCCTCACGCACGATTTCTCTGATGGAATGTGAAAGTGGTCAGTATTGAAATAAATAATCACATGAATACATTGTGTAAAATATATAAGTGAACCAACATCTTTTGGAATAGTTGAAGAAAGTAGGCTGTTAAAACTCATGTCATTACTACAAAATGTTTGACATTTATCTTTAAAATTAGATTTTTATTGGAGTACATTTTTGTTTAATTATAGACAGCAGACTGGTTGGTTGTTTCAGATTTACTTTTGCATTGCTGTTGCTCTTGCTAACAGGAGCTAACTGGCTAAATGTGGTGTCAGGTGAGGGTCACTTTTCACAAATTCATTGATTTACAAATTAATGAAAAGTGACATTAGGAAAAAAAAAGTGGCAAAAAAGAAAACACTGGGAAAAGATGTCATTACGAGATTAAATTTGGCATTTGAGAAAGAGCATTTTGAAATTAAATGTCCATTATCAAATCAAAACGAACTCCAATGAAACATAAGTGAGACTGATGACATAACAATTCTTAATTGAGTTGAAATAATTCTTAAATTATTTCACAAATTATTGTTTTTTAGACAATTTATTGATGTGATTTGTTATTTGATAATTACTTATACAGAAAACTTAGTGCCTCCATATTTTCTACTGTCACCATCCTCCTGTTAGTGATGTTTTAACTTTTAAGTTGCTCCTTTCCTTTATTAGTCTGAGTCAGGCACGTACCATTCATATGAACAGCCCTCAAACTTCCTCACATTTCACTAATCTCTCCATCAATGTGCCCGTCTTAATGTTATTACAGGCAGGGAGATGTAGGCGATAAGACTGTCACATATGCTCTACGTTCATCAGTGGTCTGAATCACGTACAAACCAACTCACACCTGCCATTAGGGACGAGAGCTGGCAGGTGGTTGGGATTCAGAAACACTCCTTCTGAATGGGGGGCCCAGACGTACACACACACACAAACACACACACACAGAGGTGTTTGGCAGCTGTCACAGGCTTATCTCCCTCACTTCCCTCCCCAGGGATGATCCAACACACACACTACACAAAGCTTTGAAGAACACACACACACACACACACACACACACACACACACACTCCTCCCTTTCCCTCTTACTCTTTACCACTCTCTTATCCCAGATGTTATCTCCACTTAAGGGAAGTGTGAGGGAAAATGCAACAGGGTTTTTTTCATTAAGAGGAAATGGAATGCTCTTAGTTTTCGGTGCTGAAGAAAGCCGATGCTGGTACTGTACTTTCATCTTCCAAAATATTCAGAGACAGATGTGTTTGTTGTAACACTGCAGTCACTTCAAAGGACACAATTACTTTTAAAAAAAAAAGAAACAGCCAAAGACAAAGAAAAACAAAAGCAGGCTATAAATCATAATTGGTTTCTTTTTCCCGCAGAGACACATATGAAGTCACTGATTCTCTGGGAGAAACTCTTTGCACACTGGTGTTTCTCAAAGGTAAAAATAAGTACTTTATTTGGTATGTATGTGTATGTGTGTGTGAGAGCATCATGAGACTAATAAGCGCTATCTCCACAGCTGTCCCCAGGCCCTTATAATGAGCGCTGCGCTATCTCATCCACACATCCCCACTCTGCTCCCACAGTCACTGCAGTAGTTGTCCAGCAGTGACAATAGCTTGAGCGCTGATAAGCCATGTTTAGAGCAACAGGCTCTAAATGCTACTCACAACATCTGTTGCACGTTTGCCAAGTAACTGAATATATGCACCATTGAAAAGCCACGGCAGTGGTAACCCTTCCTTGGTTTATTCCTTAACAATTTGTGTCCTGTGTGTGTAGAGACACTGCTCAAAGTGAGACGATATGTACTGCTGATGCTCATATATGTACGTGAAATCACTAAATGAAGCCCCGTCAGGTTAACTCAAGTACTCCTTCATCAACACCGCTACTAATGTTTCAAACTTATTCATTTAAGTAAAGTAAAAAGTAAAGGTAAACTGGGTGTTATTTGATACTGTCAACTGTATAAAAGTTCATATTGTCCCAATGTTTTTCGTTTCATCCAGTCAGTGTATAGATTGGTTTGGTCAAGTTAGCATTTACTAGTGGCAGAAGCTAGAACGGCGCTGGGCGTTAAAGCAATTTTGGCGTAGTGGCTGCATGGGGTATGGCAACTTCTGCTATCATCCCATGATGCACACTGGCCCAGAATTTTTCCAATATACAGTCACTAAAAAAAGGAGCAGCTGTAAAATGCTTTTTTTCTGAGCATCACAAACCCCTCCGATATCTATATAGTCTAGCTATTTTTTTTAACTGTTCAACCATTACTCTTAGCTATCTGTTTTAATTATATGTAGTTATCTGTTTAGCCTTCTTTGCTCACTTACTAAATAGTCCACACAATAAATTGCAACCATAGTGTTAAGGTGTTACAGCAGACTCAGAATGTGGATATGTATTTTCCATTTTAAATGTGTTTTTCTAATTTGTTAACTTTTCTAGCTTAAAGCAGAAATTTAATTCAAAATATAAAGTAATTTTTTAAAGGAGTGGTTACTGCAAATTAGCTGCTCACTGTGATTTTGTGCTGGACATTCAGAGTAACAAGATGTCTTTTCTGGGTCTGCTTTCATTTGGTTTCAAGGGCCTACTTAGAGCTATGCTATTCCAATCTATTTATGTTCAAGTGCCATCTATCAGGCTTAGCGAAGGAAGCGCTCGTGGTGGGTGTGCATACTGGATGAAAATTACGCATCCCACAGCTTGGTGGAGGCGGTTTTTCGCTTCGTCTACAGAGGAGAGCACACTTCAGAAACAATCAAACGTCTGTACATGATGATCTTCAATGAAATTTGGTTATGGATGATTTGAGTAATTCAGTGCCGCAGCAGCAGAAATGTACCAACCCTATCAACAGGTGTCAGATGTTTAACCATACTGTGTGTGTGTGTGTGT